AAAGATCCTTTTTTTTAGCCTTTTAAGTATTTTCTTAACCATTTTAAATTACAAGAAAAACTTAATAAAATAATAGTTTTTAGCATTGGTCTAATAATAAACTTTACAGATACAGATGGAGATAATTCTATTAATAACTATGCAATCCTCATTTTTTCTAAAACTTTTTAATTTTCCAAGAAGGCCCTTTTTTTTAAGTCTTTCTAGTATTTTCTTGGCCACCTCATTTTTCAAGGAAGGCCTAAAAAATAATATTTAGCATGTTTAATAATGAACATTTCTAGGAATGGAAATATTCTTAGCAAAAAACTATATTATAACTCATTATCCAAAAACCTATACCTTTTTAAAGGAGCTATTCTAGTATTTTCTAGGTCATTTTAAATTGCAAGAAAGGCTCATTGAAACTACTTTTTAGCGCGAGTTAAATAAAAAAAATTTCTCAGCTAAATATCCTTATCGGCCTTCTTTATACGATACATATGTTTTTAAAACAATCAAATAAGAAATCAGCGAGCTTTTAGTTTTTTATTAGCATTTACTCTAGTCTCATTTGCGTTTAGTGGCTTAACAAAAGTACGGGGGTTAGCCCGTAGAAAAGTTATTTTTAAAAAATAGGCTAAACATATGACAGTCAATGGCAACTCGTAAAAACACCGTCTTTCTGCTATATTGTAATATTTTATACCTTTGTTAATGATGCCACTATTTCATTTTAAAGTATTTTTTTAAACAAGAACCCCAACTGGTATAAACTTATTAAACAGAATTTCATCAGCCCGTTTATATTTAATAAGTATGCATTATTAAAATAGATTCCTAGGACACAACCGTAACAGTTCTTAACGATATTTCAAATAATTATGTAAATGCTGCTCTTTACTTCACTGTATAGCAAATTTTGACTGAAAATTTTTTGAAAATTTAAGTACTATTATAAATAAGACTTGAAAAATATCGTCCAACTTAAGCTTCCAGTTTCAACCAAATTTTTTTTAAATTATTTAGTCACATTCTCAAAATTATTATAGTTTATGGGCTCATTTTTATTTTACAAAGACATCGCCCTTTTAAGCCTTATTTTCTAATTCTCATTTTTTATAAAATATTACCTCTCAGCAAAAAAAAAATTTACATCACTTCTCCTGATAATGTCAAATAAATAATTTTTTTGTTCATTCAAATTTTTTGTTGTAAATTTTATTACTCTAGTAAATAAGACGTTCCGTGGGTTAGGGCTTCCTACTCGTTTTAAATGTACTTTTTTTTACCTTCCAAATATTAACTTTTTTTCATTCATTATTTACAAATTTATTGGATTTACTTTGTTTATAGTGTCCTCTTAACCACTTTTTTATAATAATAAACAGAACGGTGAACTCTTACCCTAAAATTTAGTTTCATTAATAAATAATGACGGCCTACGGAAATTATTTTTATATTAGTCAAAGTCATAAAATATATAAAATAACATATTCAAAGCAGAAGTGCGAATTGAAAGTATATTTTGTGGGTTTTGTGTTTTCAGCCTTTTAAAATTTATTTACGGTATCCGTTAGGAAGGGGTCAACTTTTTTACATAACTAATTTTTAAATCAACCTTTAAAGCTTAGTCTTTGCGGAAAAAAAAAGATTGATTACTATAAAACAACTAAAAGTACTGTAAAATAATTTGTAGTGTTCTTTTGGTTACTTAAAAAAAATATTTAATATTGTTAGATGACCAAAAAAAAAGATACGACGGAGTTTTTATACAGTACATTTGTTAATTACCCTAATAATGGAAAATAAGATAGTGTATTGCGTGTTAACCAGTTATAAACTTTTTAAAAAACGGTAAAGAGTTTTAATTTTTGAGCATATGCGTCTTTATTTAATCAAAATATACAACATCTATGAAAATATTTTTGGTTACTTTCGCATATAAAGTTAATTAAATTGCTGCTTCCGAAAATGAATTCTGTTGAATAGGTTGGTAATGAAGGCTAGCTTACCTCTAAAAAAATTTACAAGTTTAATAAAGCTTTAAAAGCTTTTATACATCAAAAAATATCTTCTTTTTTAATATTATACTTCTTTTCATGAAAAGTTGTTTATTCCTCTTAGTATTTAGAGCGATCTTTGACGGTGTACGTATTTAATGACGTTATATGACGGTGGCGTCATCGTTCGTGGGACTTTTAAGAATCTATGGATATCACTCTTTAAAGAGGAACTTATGCCGTTCACCAAGTTTCCTTATAACGATTTAAATAATTGGGTGGTTTTATATAAATTTAAGTAATAACTTTTAAAATAATAAATATTAACTCTTATTTGTTAGTGTAAAATTTAAGTAATTTAACAGTTAAAGTACATTTAATACGAAACCGATCCATGAATATCTCGTTAATATAATTTCTTATTCTATACTCTTCTATTATCTTGAGGTAATTTTATTTTAAAATTTTGAGTACTCGTGTCTAATTTTTAGCTTAAAAACATAAACCATAACTCAATCCAATTTTATATGTTTTTCAAATAAAACTAGTATTTTAGTGAAAAATATTAAGATTTCTTTAAAAATAGAATTAGTATTTAGCTATGTAACAATATATAGACTGGCTTTTTAAAGCGTAAATCTTTTTTCCTAACGTTACTAGAGATAGGCTTAAAATAAATTCTAATTGGAAGACTTAACATCTATAAAGTTACCATCTAATTATTTTTCTAATAAGGATAGCGTTAATTATATATTGCTAATTGACAGTTTAGTTTTTCTTTTTTTGGCCTACTAAGGTTGTATATATATGATTCAGCTTTTACATAAAGTGCGTTATTTAAAAGAACAATGATGAAAATGGAAGTGAAAACCGGTTTTCTTTTAGATAGTGAAAGTGACGAAAATATAGAAAAGGATTACTTTTTAATTCTTTTTAGTAACCCCGAGACTGCGCGGTTGGTAAATATATATTTACAACATGAATACAGCTCAGAAAACTTTGATTTCATTATGAGTGTTTTCGAGTATCAATCCGCAAGTGACAGAACAAGAAAAATATTAGCAAAAACAATATACAAAACATATATTATGCCTGAAAGTCCCAAGCAAATAAACATTCCTTGGCCTGTAGCTATAAAGATTTCCGAGAATTTAAAAACAGCGTCATCTTCACTTTTTCTTAATGCCAAAACTCATGTTTTAAATTTAATGAAATGCGGTTTCTTTCCAAGATTTTCTAAAAATGTTTCCGGCCTTATAAAAAAAAGCTGGAGTCGCATAATTAAAAAGTATTCGACCGACAAAGTTGGAATAAAGTTTTATGAATATTTGTTCGAAGAAGGACCAGAAGTGATCCCTTTATTTAAACATACAAACTATGAACTTAGCCGGAAAATGTTTGTTCAAGTAATTGAAAGATGCATAAAGTCTTTGGATGACTTAAAACAAGTTATTATAGACATTGACGACTTGGCAAAGCGGCATCGTAAGTATGGAGTTAATAAAGGTCATATGAAAATCGCAGGAAAGGCCTTAATAAAAGTTTTAGAAGATTTTGATGATGAGTGGGAGAAGCAGACTGAAGAAGCTTGGTTATTCGTATTTTCTCTTATTTCCGCTTTGATGAAGCGATGGCTTCCTGATGATTTGGTAAAAAATAATGAAGAAAGGTGTACATTGCAGTAAAAAATACATATACACATCGAGAATGTACAGTGTAACTTATTTTAAGAAATAGCTTGCAAAAAAAAATTCTCATAAATCGAAATAAATGCCCCTGTACTTCTATAAAAATTAGTTTACGTTTTAACTTTTTAGTAGGACTTAGTTAAGTAAAAAAGCTAAAGGCTTTTATAAGCTTAAAGTATACTTAAACTTGTTTTAAAAATTTGTTTTTCCTTTACTACTAAAAATAAGTATTGCAAAAAAATTAACTTTGCGCGTTCTTTACATCTTTATTTGAAGGTGTAAAGAGATTATAATTTAGTCTATATACTAAAGTTTTCGCTGGTTATATAATTAAAAAAAAAACATCTCTGTCAGTGGTTGTCAGGTAATACTAATTAGACTTCCATAAACTTAAAAAAAATTTCAAAATCTAAAAATGTTAACCAAATAATAATATACTTTGAAGATAAAATTTTTACTCTTAAACAATAAATTAAAAGAAGCTGCAAAACTCTTTAAAGAAGTGGTTTCCGTTATGTTTCAATTTAAATCTTTGGAAGTAAAAAGCGGTTATAATTTATAAATTACGAAATGCAGCTTTTTATATTTTAAAGTAAAAAAAGCAACAAAGCAAGAAAGAATGCTTAAAAAAACTTTTAAAACCGCCGTAACTCTAGAAAGCCAAACAGTATACTTTTGATATGTAAACAGCAAGAAACTTTTAAAGATATCACAATAAAAATATTATGGTTAAAAATTATTTAGTTTACTAGATTGCTTATTGACTAATGAGAAACTCTTGAGAATGTGCTGCCTTACACACTTATATTAATTGCTTTGCCTAAGCAAAAAAAGTGATATTTATACGAAATTTTACTGTGGCCTGCAATAGATTTTTGACTCACACAAAATGGAATAAAATTTACATTTAAAATTTTTTTTTTATACTCAATAATTTTTCTAATTACTCTTTTTCTATATATATAGTTTGCCTTCATTCCCTTACAATACTACTATAAGAAAGCTTGAAAACCTCATTTACCCACTTGGTGGTCCCTTCAAGCGTGTAAGCTGTGGTTCACATTTAGGAGCGACCCTACTTCTTTTTTTATTATAAGTGATGATGGTCAGAATATTGTTAAAATAAATATAAAAATTAATATAGTTCATTAAAAAAGAATGTTTAGAACCTTTCCTTGTTTGTTTAAAAACTGTTTACCTTGCTTTCACTCTCCTCTTATAAGAAACTTGTCCTTAAAAGCTACGTCTAACCAAGAAAAAAAAATTTTTTCATCTATTTCTTCGTTGAATAGAAATATAGTTTTTTCTAAAATAAAATTTAATAATCTTGTCATTACGCGTCGATGGAAAACTAAACAAGTTACTGGTTATTCTAAAAATCCTAGATCTTCTCCAGGAAAGAGACTCGGTTTAAAAAAATTTGAAGGTGTTTAATCTTTTTCTTTATTAGAATTATTAAACTATCGAGTTGAATTTTATATTATTAAAATTTTATATTACAAATAATAATAGGAAACATCGTTAGAAGTGGCCAAATACTTCAAAGACAGCGAGGCTTCGTGATACGAGCTGGCGAAAATGTAGGAGTAGGTGAGTTACTAATTAATTTTTGTTGTTTACTTTTAATGAAAAATTATTTAAAGAAATTTAAAAAATAATTATAAAGTTTATTAAATTAAAGTTATTAAAAGATTTACAGGAACTTGGTAACTGGTTGAATAATTTTTTATGTAACTATACTATAATTTTATTAAAAGGGAGAGACTACACCTTATTCTCTTTAATTGATGGTCGCGTTAAGTTTACACGAAAATTAATTAAATTGAAATTTCAGAAAAGATTAAAAGACAAAGTAATTTGTATTAAATCATATAACTGTTTTATAATTAATTACTTTATCACATTCCTTGTGATTTACTATTATTTTATTTTTATTTTCGAGTTATTTTAATTTTTAATTTTTAATTTTCGAATATCAAATTTTTCTACTATAATATTAATTTTTACATTCTGAAGAGATTGACAGTTGTAATTTTATTTTAATTTACTCCTATTAATTTTTTAAGTATTTTATTATTTACTTTGAAAAACAACGCGGGGAAGGTTAAATTTTTTTTTTATATTAATTTAATTTTTTGTTTAGTTACAAAATTTATAGAAATTTCTATAAATTTGAATCAATTAATTTTTTTAATGTAAAATTTTAGAGCAAGTCATAGAAAATTTGGATTTAATTTAATCTCAAAAATAATAATGCTCTGGTGAAAGCGACTTAAAAGATTTTTTAAAAATTTCACCAGTAATTTAGGGGCTGCACTATTTAAAGATTTTCTTATAATTTTATTTTTATACGCCTTAAAAAAATATATTTTAGGCGTTAAATTTTGAATTAATTTTTTGATTTTTAATTTTGTTATTAATAAATTTAATTTTAATAATTGCTACGTTTGAGAAATTTATATTTAAATATATAAATTTAGTAAGAAAACTACATTTAAATTTATAAATTCAATTTTATTTATAGATAATATAAAAGATATTGTCTTTGAGTCGGACTTATTTAAAAATAATCATTATATTAATTTTAAACTTTATACTAATAAAAAAAATTAAATTAAGATTTAAAGCGTTAACATTTGGATTAATATTTTTATATTATAATTTTGTTGTAATTAAATTATTTTATATTTTTTAATTATTGCTATTAAAAAAATGAAGTATTAATAATTTTTTATCGAAAGTTAAATTTGGTTTTATCTATAGAAAATATAAAAGATTTCTAAATTTTATACAATTTTAAAAAAAAATTAAAAAATAGTTAGTGCTAATTCTAAATTAGATTTTTTTTTAATTTTGTTATATAAATTTTTTTTTTCCTGCTATTGTAAATTTTAAGTATTAATCTACAAGATATTTTTTATTATAAATTAAATTGTATTTTATTTTTATATATAAAAGATTTTCAAATTTTATAATAATTAATAATTAAAAAAAAGCAATATAAGCATTTACTTTGGAATTAATTTTTTTACTATGATTTTGTTATAAAAATTTATTATTATAATTTTAAGTATAAACAAACCTACAAGATTATTTTTTATTGTAAATTAAATTTTATTTTATTTTTATATATAAAAGATTTTCAAATTATATACAAATTCAAATGAAAAGTTTATAAAAGTAAATAAAAGTAATTTAAGCGTTAACAAATAAAATAATTTTTTTAAATTAATCTACAAGAAAAATTTTTATCTTAAATCAAATTTAGTTTTATAACTAATATAAAGGATTTCTAATATCTTTTAAAAAAATTCTAAAAATTAATTTAAACGACATTAAAATTTTATTTTTATATTTTTTAATTGCTATTGGAAATTTTAAATATTAATTAAAAGAGATCTTTTTTTATCGTACTTGAGAAAATTATAATTTATTATTATTTTAAATTTATTCAATGATTAAAAGATTTGATCTTTTTTAATTTTTTTTGCTAAAACTAAATTTTTTTTAATAGGATATTTTTTAATAAATATAAAAAATACCACCAAAAATTTTAATTATTTATAAGGAACTTCAAATTTAAGTTTAGTCTTAAAATTTTTTAGACTTTTCTAAATTTTAAGTAAACTACTAAAGTTTTATTAAAAGAACTTGAATTTTTTTTATTAAATTATTAATTTAAATTTAAATTTCTTTTAAAATTATTAATATAATTCATCGATAAATTAGTAGTTTTAATTTTTTTCAAGTATTATCACTAATAAAAAATAGTAATTCTCAATTATTTTTTTAAATCTAAATTATTATTAATAAAAATCTAAATTTCTAATTGTTTTCAAGCATCATTATTACTATTTAGTAAAAATATACAATCCTCATTTACTTTTAAAGTATTGTTTTTTTTATAAAATTAAAAAAAAAGAGAAATTCCCAAATCTTTTCAAATATTATGTTTTTTAAGTAGCCATTCTCAACTTTTTCAAGTATTATTATTAAAAGAATATTTACAAAAAATTTAATTATTTATTATTATATAAGAATTTACTTTAAATTATTTATATATATAATCTGTATTATTGTAAAAAGTAGCAGCTTTTAATGATTTATTATCATTATTGGAAAATAAGCAATTCTTAAGTATTTTAAAAAAATATATAATTATTTTTAAGTATTATTATTAAAAAAATATATCTATCAAAAATTTTATTATTATTATTATAATTATATTATAGAAATAATCACTTTTAAATTATTTTATTTATTTAAATTTTTACTCAAATAGTAGTAACTTTCAACTTAAAATTATATAATTATTTTAAAGTATTTGTATTATAAAAATTAATTATTATTTATTAAAAAATATTTACTAAAATATAATATTATTTTTTGAAAATATTACTTAAAAATTATTATAAATTATCATTATTATTAAAATAATAACAAATTTTAATTACTTTATTATCATCAATTTAATTTTACTAAAAATGTTATTATCATTATAAAAAAAAATCACTTTTATATTATATTTATTATTATTATCATAATATTAGCAACTTTAAATTCTTTTTTGATACTATTATTTTTATTTAAAAATTTATAATTATTTTGAAGTATTTTTATTATTAAAAGAATATTTACTGAAAATATGAATTTTTTAATTAATAATAAAAAAAAATAACAATTTTGTATTATTTATTAATAAAATATTTACTAAAGATATTGTTATATCGTTATTTTTTAAAAAATTATTAAAAATTATTATTATTAAAATAATAAATTTTAATTACTTTAAGTATTATTTTTTTAAAAAAAAAATTTACTTAAAATTTTATTAATATTATTATAAAAAAATCACTATAATTATTTTCATTATTAAAATTTTCCATGTATTATTAAAAAATTTATAATTATTTAAAGTATTTTTATTATTAAAAGATAATATTTACTAAAAGAAAATATTTACTAAAAAATTATTATTTTTTAAAAAAAATACTTTAAAATTATTATAAATTATTATGATCAAATAATAAAAAACCTTTATTGTTTCAAATATTATTATTAAAAAATATCTACTAAAAATTTTATTATTATTATTACAAGAAAAATCACTTTTTAATTATTTTTATTTATTATTATATTATTAAAAAAAAGTAGAAACAATATTAATATTATATAATAGTAGGCAATTCTCAAGTTCTTTCAAAATTATTATTATTGTATTGTTTAGAAATTTATAATTTTTTTTAAATTATTATTATTATAAAAAATATTTGTAAAAAACTTTTATTATTATTATTAAAAAGAATCACTGTTAAATTATTTTTATTTATTACTAAAAAAAAGTAGCGACTCCCCATTATTTTTAAGTATTATTATTATTATTAAAAAATTTATATTTATATTAAATTATTATTACTATTAAAGAAATATTTATTAGAAATTTTATTTTAATTATTAGTATAAAAACTTACTTTTAAATATAATTATTATTACAATATTAAAATATAAAAACAACATTTAGAACTCATAAACAACTATTTACTATAAAAAAAACCAAAATTTTTTTTTTAATTATTATTATAAAAGAAAAAGTTATTATAAAGTGTAATATACAATAAATAAATACCTCAAAATTTATATAACCTTTAAAAAATTATAAATATAATTATTTTTATAAACTAATAAATAATATCAAACAAACGTACTCACTAATAACTTTTCATTATCATTATCATTGTTATTATTATTTTGTATAAAAAAATTTAAAATTAAAAAAAAAAAAACAATATTTTTTTAAATATATTTTACAATAAACCGTTTTTTTAAATATTTTACTAATAAAAAAGATATAAATTCTATATCATATGCAGCGAAAAAATAATAAAACTAAGGATAAAATAAATAATAATGATAAGTAAATTAACTTTTATAATATAATAATAATTAAAATTTAAAAATAAATGATATAATAAAAAAGTAACTAATAGCTTGAAGTTTTTATATAAATAAAAATAATTATTAATATTATTATTACTTATAATAAAAAATGGTTTTTTGTGTTTTTTACTATAAATTTTATATTTTTTTATTACTTTATTTATAATGATATATATATTATTTATATTATTTTTTTATATAAACTTAGTGTGCTTGTTATTATTTATATTATTATTATTTAAAAAAATATATTTTATATTTTTATAATGATATCTAATTTTTCATAGAATTACATATAAAATTTTACAATATATAATTATTTATAATAATATTCTTTTTGAATTATTATATTTCTTCCTTATTATAATAAATCATCAAAATTTTATAGTTTTATTTTATTTTTTAATTAAAAGGTTTAACGATATTTTAATTTATAGGTTTTATATTTTATAAATATTAAAAATAATTTTCTACTAAAACTTTACATTTTTATTATTATTTTACGTGTAATATTTTAGTTTAAAGTTTTGTAATATTAATAATTTCATTATTATCTTATGTTCTTTAATATGAAAATAAATACAGTTTTTATAATATATAGGTTACCATAAACGGTTCTTCCTTAAATTAATTTTAATTGGTTTTTAAAATTTTTTAGCATTTAATCAAAGTTTACATAAACTAATTCATATATTTAGTAATTTTTTTGATAATTTTTTTAGGTTTTTATTCATGTGATCCCTCATAAGCATATTGTTTACTTAAAGGAATAAAACAATAATTTTAATTATTAATTATATTTATAAACATTTTCAAGTATAATAGCTTACCTCACATATGTTACAGACAAATGTTTAAAACATATCACAAATAATTCTTATAAATACTTACATCAAGTTTATAAAAT